TTCCCAAGGTCAACGCACCAGAAATGGTGTTTTGGAAGGATTCTGGATTACGCGGGCGCAACAGTTATGTTGATTCGCTGTGTTGAAGTCCCAAAAATGGCGTTCAGACGCGGTTCTGGATCGTCGAGACGCAGCACTTAGGTTGATACGTGGCGTTGAAATCCCGAGAACAATGTTTTGGCACGCTTCAGGATCTTCAAACTGTTGTCTTTCAACGAGGCAGTTACCTCAATGGAAATGAACCGCTGTAGGGGCCTATGAAGAGGGAGCTTGGAGGGAGGGTGAATTCTAACATCGTTGATGACTCTTGGGATTCCACAGGTCCCCCGCCTCCTCCTTCCTTGTCCTACTCCTCCATTTTGAATAGGACTCGCTGTCGGCGTCGCCACGGACATTCATTGTCCGTTCTACACAGGAAGTCGCCGAATTACCCAACAGCGGCCGCTGTTGATTATAGACAATGTTTGCCGTTGGACACTGTACCCATTTGATCCGTACCCATCTCGGGCGTCCAGAGTCTTGACGAAAGAGGAACATCGAGGATCTAACACTTTTTTAGAGCTTTTATGTAGTCCCCGTTATGTTTTCGCGCCCTTTCAGAATCTGCCGTGCTTTTGCCGATGTTGTAAGTATGGCGGAAGTTTCTGCCTTACTTCTCAGGCTCTTTCGATGCCAATTCTCGCCCTGCTTCGCCGTCGCTGTTTCCGCCGCAGCTTTGTGGAAGCAGCCGCCCCATTGTTCTGAGAGAGAAATTTTCGTCATACTTTTTCTCATCGTCCGGGTTGCATTTCTGACACAGTTTGTAAGCCGGATGATCAACCAAAGTATGGCGGATCCAGGGCCAGGGCAGGTTTCCCAAATCGTCTTGACAACATGTGAGCATCGAGGATATGTTTTTTTTGGTTGTTCTTCGTTTTGTTCTCTGCTCTCGCGCCCTTCTCTGGGCCTCCTGGGGCGCCGTCGTCGCCGCGGCTGTGTCCGCCTCGAAGTTCTGGCCAGAACGTACGCAGTATCAAAAAACAAACGTCACCACCCCATCTACGGCCGTCCACGTTGCGCTACAGCTCATCGGGGGCCGTACTGCATACCATGCGAAAACCAACGCCGGATGTGTAGGTATACGCTACTCCGAGTTTCTTACTATGCGTCGGGGGGGCGTCAACCCCACCAACAGCCCACATCAACCCCCGTCGCGGGCAGCCGCCGCGTGCCGAAGGCGCTCCGA